CAACGAAATAACAAAAAGAAAAAGTCTCATCATTCATAAAAGACATGAGCAAAGACTCACCCAAAATCAACATCATATTCATGAATTGTGGATGCGTACTTTTCATGGAACCGACGTCGCCAATACTGCTCTAATTGTCGGTACTTGTCTGAATCGCAACTTAAAACAAGAACTGATGCCCAAGATGATCAAATCTAATCGACGTGCGGGGATCAATCACGAAACCGCAACGCAACATGATACTGGTAAACAAATATAAAATCTTCAAGCAAAACTAACCAGCCACTAACTTAAGTCATTCGGAATTTTATACTGTGATTTAAAAATAAATAAAACATATCTCAATTGAAAAAGACACATGAAATATAATATTAGATCTTAAAAATGAATAAATTTGTAACTAAGACACCAAATATCACCGCCCAAATAACTACTACTATAGCAGCATCGTCACGAATGTGCATATGATTCCACTAAACCAGCTATTATCATAAAATGATCTCATCATTCACCTTTTCAGTGCACCAGCATATCACGTGAATAAAAAAATTCAATTTGGTAGCTTCTTAATTTCATACAGCTACTTATTAGAAACAGACAACCTTACGACACCCTATGCAAAGATTCAGCAATAACTACTTACAAAGTACCGATCAGTCATTTCCAATATAATCGATTCTGACATAATTTCGATATCCCACTATGACTCCAATGACAATGACGTTACTTGTTCAGAATTCATTTTGAAAAATTTCAATAAGACACAACCAAACGCAAAACGAATAAGCTATTCTTCTAATTTTCGCATAACCCGCATACTACCGAATAATTCAGCTACCAGATGAGACCCTGAAGCAACGGCGACACAAGGTATAGTTTCTATTCAAAACAAGACATTCATTGCGCTACCAATTGGCCAAAGAAATATTAACCAGTTGTATTTAATGCAATACTTGGTAATTCTTTGATTTCTACATACGTTGAGTAGTTAATCTGTGATCTATAGATCAATTGAAAAACTGCCAATACACAGCCATCTCAAAAGTCCTTTACCAGCGACAATAAGAGTCATCGTCTTACTGAAAATCTATCCAATTCCACGCACACCAATAATGTTTCATATTTTTTTATGATATTAAAAATCATCATTAACATTCAACAAAATGTTTCCCATCATACCGCAATCATCCAACAGTAACACAAATATTGGAACGGTCTGATGAGACCCTTAAGCAAGGTTGAAACGCGTAACGGTTAGCTCAAAACACACCCACACACCCACACACCCACACCCCTGGCAGTTTATTCACACTACTGATTTGTGAAATAAAATCTTCTATTACATTATTTTCAATAATCTTGTAAATTCTTGAAGATATAATTTGTTTTGAATTTTCTTTCGAGAATAATTCAAGATAATTAAGCCATCTGATGAGACCATCTAAGCAAGGTCGAAATCTAGATCATGGCAGCTTATTCACACCCACACCCCACACCCACACCCTATAAGTCAGATATAAAATAATCTTGTGAATTTTTCTCGAAAATTTATTGAGATTAATTGCCATCTGATGATTCCTTTGGTAAGGATGAAATCTATAGATAATGGTAGCTGTTCACCCCATATTCTACAAGAATCAGACAAGAATGCAAGAGGGAAGATTTCCTGGAGTCTAATTCTTCTTACGATTCCATCTAACTCTCAAATATCTAATGTTTAACTTTTATGACTAGGGAACAGTAGAAGCACCCATTAGTGTCTTCATACCCATGGCATAAGTATAAGGAACAAAGAAATGACTGCAGATTCTCACATTACAACTCCATATCAGCTGTGATAGCAGACATCAACCGAATCATTAGGCCTTATTTTGCTCATTAAAAGCTCAACATTTCCCAGCTCACAACTGATTGCCGAAGATGAGCATCATATAAGGGTGTGGATGACGGATATCAACACCCACACCTTGATGCAGGTCATGTTTGAGAAGTACTATTGCGATAAAGTTCTAGTCAAGGTGGACATCTTTTTTGCTGCTACATCATTTCATTTTTAAGCGTATCAGAAAAAAACATGATATTAAGTACCTTTTGATATTTGTTCAATTACTTTCATAATATTTATTACATATGCATTTCTCTATGTGGATTCTGTAGTGTAAACAACTTGAAAATACATCTTGTTGAATAATTTTGTTAGTCACTCTAAGGGACTATTACTGTTGCGGACGGATTTTGTAGATTGTCTTGTTCAAACTAGTTTAACATAATAATTTTTGTTATGCTATATGGAATTGTCATATTCCAAAAATCTACACATGTATTTTTTTTAAATGAGTTTTGACAAGCAATATATTATTTGAGACTATCGATATCCTATAAAAATACTAATTCACTATCTATATGTTAGTGTTTCTGTAATGATTAGGATGAAGGTGTGGGTAGTCCTTCTCGCTCCACAATATATACAATAAAACTGCTTTTTTGTTTTCTCATAGCTAATAAGCTTGACCAAGCTTCAAAATTAATTCAAAAGATCTTTGGCAAGTGAACATATTTTTGGTTCTCTGGGTTAGATTTTTATCTGTAGCATCACTTTATATAATATTTAATAGAAAGTTAATGTTGAATTTTTGTCAAAATCAGTCGATTAGTTTTCGTAAAAATGTTCCAGATATCAGGTTACATTGATTCTGCGTGTTTGCTTAATTTCAATTCGAATTTATCTTGACCAGAATATTTTGATGTTCTGACAGCCCATTGACCATCGAATTGTTGTGTATGATCATTCCATTTTAAATTAATTTTAACTTGATGTCCAAGATTTTCATGTGGCTCACCAGTTCCGAGTTTATATTGTTTTGTTAATATTACATGATTGTCGTTTGTAGAATAGCTTCCGGTAACATAAAATAAACCAACATCATCGTCACCATTACCCCGTATATTTCCATCGTTGAACTCAAGTTGAACAAGAAAAGGTCCATGCCATTTATAATATTGATAATAACGCATATTATAAGAACCCGTTTGAAAGATGTTTGTTGTCTGAGATGCATCCTGCACAACTGAAGACCGTTCAGTGTGAGAAATAGGAGGATGTTCCATGTCTAATATGAGAGGCTGTGTGAGACACGGTGGAGAATGTAATTTTGTATTTATATTTGAGGATTGCATTGTAAGTGGTCGTGTAGTCAGCGCAAGACTAGTTGGGTTCGATCGGTGTGGTTTTGTTCGACAACATACCCAATTGGAGATTGAATAGCAAATATCATTAGGATCTCGACAACATGAAGACTCACAGATGGCACAGCATAGGCAACAAAGTCCACAAATACCAAATATCACAAGAAGCACAATCATTGAGTTACGTTTACATTCTTTAGTATTACAACTACTTTCTAAGATTAAAACAAAACATCGAAAATTGAACGTGTTCAAGCATAATTGTAAAAGTGTTATGAAGTTATATAACAAATCAATAAGTGAACATGAACTGATAGTTAGATATTCCTTCTTCACTCCATTCCAATATCGCTCAATCATTAAAGTGTAATTTAGAGAACGAAGAAAAAATATTTCTAAATCGTATTGAACAATGAAAACGAATATTGTCAAGGTGATAACAGACAGAAATCTCAAAATTTAAATACTCCGAGCTGTTCCAATCTGAACCAATCAAGTTGATCAGATACTACTCATTGGATGTTTGATGAAAACAAATCTTGGATTTACAAAGTGAAAATAATCTCCAATGAAAAAGTAATCTCACAGACTGATATATTTCAATGATCATATTGTTGTAGATAAGCTATGTTACAAATTTTATTCAGTCTCTTGTTTTATGATGTCATTTGAGCTCATTGAATTTCTCGCAATCTTTATCAAACTATTCCCACATTCTGCTGTAAAACAAGTTGAGTCCAAAATCTGTGTATGAAAGACGGTACGAAAAGCAAGTTTGATTCTTTGATTTTCTTTAAATTTTATTAAGAAATACTCAATAATAACAAACGCATCAAACACTTTAACAAAAAACCATATTACTTAGAACCCATGCTTTGTATCTCTGTTATATGCTTATGCGAGATACATTTACCTTGAAACTCGCTCGAAGGATACAATTTGAAACCTCATAGCTAATTCCTCTTCTACAAAAGTAGGTTTAAGTGTAAAAAATATTTAACGTCACATATTTCCTGAACATATCTGGGTTTATCGGCAAATAAAATGATTAAGCTAACTTTCTAAGCATGATGAAGTATATGGATATAAATTACATTGGAAACATTGAGTTTCTGATTTGAATATCTACGCCATATATAATAACTGTCAGTTTATTTTGAATTATAACATTTTTTCATTCTTGAATAATCTTGAATAGAACCGCTACTAAATTTAACTATCTATGCTCGCTCATAATGACATCTGTCAGCCAGATCACCTGAGATACTATTTGTGATATAGACAAATACTCTTGACGAGATACTTGTAACATCGAAACTAGAAAGTCATTTGTCTTTTCATTGATGCTTTACTTACTTGAGCCACCACCTGCACCTCCGACCCCGGCTCCGCCTCCACCACCGCCGGCTCCGCCTCCACCTCCACCTCCACCTCCACCTCCACCTCCACCTCCACCTCCA